CCTACAAAGCCCTGAACGGTTTGGGACCACCCTACCTGCGTGACCGCATCTCCATCTACGAACCCACACGCTCACTCCGATCATCTGGGGAGGCCCTGCTCGTGATCCCACCTACGTCGCAAGCGCGCTTTGGTGGGGACACGGGACAGGGCCTTTTCTGTGGCGGCCCCCCGACTTTGGAACGCCCTCTCAAAAGATCTCAGACAGGCCCCTACTCTAGCCGTTTTAAGGAACCTAAAAACTTGGCTGTTCCGATGTGCCTTCTCAGATTAGGAATCCCCATCCCAAGTCCTAGAAGCACTTTAGCACAATCAATGTTACTGCACACTACACTTTTAATCCTACGTTCCTCCTGCCATCTCAGCACTTTTAACCCTGTACCCCACTGCGCCGGCCGAACCAGTTTTTAACAGTGTCTTGATGTACTGATGTATTGTCATTGTTGTTATTTTGCTTAATTGTTTTGATTTGCTTTGTTATTGTTGTGTTATGTTTTCTATTGTATTGCGTTCTGAGGCTTCGGCCCGTGTAAGCCGCATCGAGTCCTTCGGGAGATGCTAGCGGGGTACAAATATAGTTAATAAATAATAATAAAATAAATAAATAAACTCTATTTCAAAATGCTCAATCAAAGTTTTCTGTAACTGCAATGCTAAAAAATTGACCCTCTTCCTCTTGTTCTCCACTCACACATACATTAATTCATATACATGGAGCCAGTTTCTTAAAAGGCTGCTATCTAGATAGCGAAGAGAAGATAGGACAGCATTCCAGACAACAGGAATTTTATCCCTTTTCTATATGTTAGTTGGTGTGTGAAGACTCCCATAAGAGAGCCAACATTACTTGTGTGTTGTACTATGACACTGGAGACCAGAGTTTGAATTCCCATTCAGCCATGGAAACTCACTGCTTGACCTTAGGAGAGTCACTCTCTCTTTCTCAGCCTTAGCAGAAAACTAAGACAAACCCTCTTTGAATAAGTAATGCCAAAAAAAAAAAGCCATGATACGTTTATCCTAAGCTATCATAAGTCAGAACTGTAGGTGCACAACAACAACAAAAAACTCATGGCACATACACACAAATATTGGTATACGTATACCCACGTATACACTTGGAATAAAGAACAAGCAAGCCGTTACAGAGAGTTGTGTTGTTCCAATACTGGTGTTGTGGGCAGTGTTTGTAGAGGCAGAGGAGGAGTTTGATGTTGCAGAGATTTTGAACTGACGGCATTGTCAAAGGCACCTTCAATACCTTGTCAGTTGGGTAGGGTATGGACCAGAAGAATGTTCTTGGCAGGATGTGGAGGATGTTCATGTTCCAGAGTTAGTAGGCTAGTTTCACCAGGATAACCCTGAGAAACCCAGCCCTTCACAAGAGGGAGGAGTGATGTCAGAGCTAGTGCTGACAATGAGTATGTGGAGGAATGATTACTTCTTTCAGCATTTGAGTTGGGCTCAAATACAGAGCAACAGCACATGCAGGCTGATAGCAAAGAGTCCACCACTTCAGAACAGGAATAACAGCAATCCCAAGTGGACAATGAGAGACTTACCACTCCTCTGGGCTAAGAGCAAGGGTAGGATCAGGACCTTGAGTTTGGAAACCAGGGGTTAACTATTCCAAACTGGCTGGAATTAAGGATAGGTGGGATTCAAGTGTGGAGATCTAGTTATTTAGCTGAGAAGAGGGCCAGCAGGTGGGATCACTTAAAAGATCTGCATAAATAGTTGAAGTCTGGAATAGCTAGTTGCTGGTAGCAATCTTGGTATTTAGCTGCAGCCTGAAGCATTGTGTCTTGAACCTTGAAAGAGATGCTGGATGCTTCTTGGAAACTGTGTTGGCAAGATCTCCTAGCTTTGGAATATTGGAATAGATTTATGGCTGACCCTTTGCTTCCTCCTTGCTTGGAGGATTGATTAATGTGTTGACCTTAGACTATATTTGTGCACTGGACTGATTTACAGAGACTCTCTGGGCAGGGCTCTGACAACTGGGAAGATTAACAATTAAGAGTTCTATGGTTTGGTCCACCACAGTAGGCATTTTTCTTTCAGACAAAATAACACTTAGGCAGACATGGCCAAATTTTGGCCCTCCGGGTGTTTTCAACTTCAACTTTCACAATTCTTAACAGCCAGTAAGATGGATGGCATTTCTGGGAGTTGAAATACCTGAAGGGCCAAAGTTTTCCCATGCCCGACTTAGGGTGTGTCTACACTGTAGAATGAATGAGGTTTGACACCACTTTAGCTGCAGTGGCTCCATGGTATGGAATCCCTGATCTTGTAGTTTGGTGAGGCTCTGGTACATTTTTATAAAGGGGTAAAGTGCACGTAAAACTACAACCCTCTGGATTTTATACTACAGAGCCATGGTAGTTAAAGTGATGTCAACTGCATTCATTCTACTTATAGATACTCTCTTAGATGTATAGCTTCATTGTTCCCATATTATGCATGCCAGGTTTCAGATATCAAGACTGCATTGCACTTGTTGGTCTTCCTCTTTCTTTCTTTCCCTATGGGACAAAAGACACACATACACACATTTACATCTAATGTTTCTTTTACTATTGTTTGCACTTGTAATCTCATCATGAAATTTCTATTTTAAGAGCCAGCAGCATCTGCCCATAGATAGCAAGACTGGCCTCTGCCATTATGCCGACGAAATGCTCTAATGTGGCTCCAATTTTTTTTAAAACTACATTTCACATCTGACAGTAACAATGCCCATTTTAACTGCATAAGGCACATTTCAGAAGTAGCTTTCTTTTAATCAGAAATGTGTCTTTTCATACAAAAATAATAGATGAACAAATAGAAAGAACAGGATATAAAATTCATGGAATTCAAGGAAGAAAAGATGTAAGAGAGATCACTTGGAGCGCTCATAATAAGGTTCTTAATGCCCATTCAGCTTCTCCAAGTCATGGGTATTTCAGCCCTACAAATCCTTGATCCTTCCACATAGCAGACAAAGTCATAGAAAACATCAATAGCAAGGTCTGCCCAATACCAGATCTTACATTGACTTTATATTTCTTGAAAGAAAATCTACCAAGCATCCATTTTAACTCTAATGTGCAAAATGTGGGTTATAGGAAAATCCTGTGCAGAAGCATCCCCTAGATTTGTCTTTGGTGGATTCCATGAGATTTGTAATATCCATTCAGCTCCTGTAATTCATGAGTATTTCACCTCTGCAAATTCTTGATCCCTCTGCATAGCAGACAGAGCTATCATAAAACATCAATGGCTTTGCCCCATGCCAGATCTTAAATTGTGTCTGTCTGTGCTGATCTCATTGTAACATAGTCTTGGCTCATGGTGTATACTTTACGGTAAGTATATATCATGATAAGGGAAATCTTAGTCTTCTATAAATAGGATTAATTAATCCACTTGATTAGGACAATGCCAAACATGACGGTTCCAATAAAGCATAAATAATGACTACAGTATATTAATCCTTTGGCTTGGTTTCTCAGAATGCCAGACAGCTCAGTAATCATTTTTTTTTTGTATTGTCGAAGGCTTTCATAGCCATAATCACTGGGTTCATGTTCAAGGAACATGAAAGGCACTGCAGACTACTTCAGCCAGAGAAGTCAGCCATAGGAGAGCACCTGATGAACCAACCTGGACACAGCATATTATTTGAGAACACAGAAATGCTGGACCACTCTAACAGCACCATTTCAGACTACACAGAGAAGCCATTAAAATCCATAAGCATGTGGACAATTTCAACAGAAAGGAGGAAACCATGAAAATGAACAAAATCTGGCTACCAGTATTTAAAAAAACTCTAAAATTACAACAGCAAAACAACAAAGAGGAAACAATCAGGGACAGCTAATCACCTCTCAACAAAAGATTCCCCAGGCACTAGCAAGCCACACCAAAAACACTGCCAGGCCATCAAATGCTAATCAAGGTGGTCAGTTGAAACATTCATGTCTAGCTCCAGCAGACAAGGGTTCTTTGTCCCACCCTGGTCATTCCACAGATAAATAAACCCATTTTCCTAGTTCCAACAGACCTGACTACCTCTGAGGATGCTTGCCATAGATGCAGGTGAAAGGTAAGGAGAGAATGCTTCTAGAACGTGGCCATATAGCCCGAAAAAACCTACAACAGCCCAATTATTTTTTTCCTACTAATGGAATCTTGACATGTTTGGGGAGGACTGAAATACAAGTTTGATTCTCTAGTCTATTTTGAGTTGGACTCAATTGCTTGCACACACAGTTCAATTTTTTTCACCATGGCCTAGTTATGATCTCACTTAGGTCCTTCTCTGTTGCTGTTTGAACACTCCTCACTGCTTTATGCCAATTTTGTTAATTATTTGTATGGAAGGTTCATATCAAAGGTCATGTTTGAACCAATATCCTGCTGTTAGTATGCCTCCCAATATTCCCAAATATACCCAAAGATTTGTTACAAATGATTTAGTTTTGGTTTACATTTTAGCTCATCTTTGGCTTGGCTATGAATTCTAGTTTACTCTGACAAAGAGGGCTGAATAGACCTGGGCTATTGTTTTTTGTGAGAGTCAGCATGGTGTAATGGTTTGAGCAGACTATGACTCTAGAAACCAGGGTCTGATTCCTCTCTTGGCCATGGAAAGAGACTGGGTGACACTGATTCAACCACAAAATAGGTTCATGTTAGGGTTTCTATAAGTCAGAAATGGCTTGAAGGTATACAACAACAAATTGTTTACAGCCAGAAAATATGGTACAGGAAAATGAGCCCTGGTTTGCAGCTCAGGTATTATGAAATTGAAAATTACTTGTGAGTGAACATGCATAATTTATTTATTTATTTATTATTTATTTCACAGTTTTGTATACCGAGCTTCTCAACCTAATTGAGGGACTCAGCCCAGTTTACAGCCATAAAAACATATACATTCATTAAAATATCATATATCACAATTACAAAAACTTTAAAATAACACTATGTCTAAAACTACTTCTAAAACTTTCAAACGCTTAACACCAGGGTGCATCTACAAATTAAGTTAAACTAAGCCATTGCTGGCAAATGAAATTTAGCACTGATAAAAAAACAATGAAGGGAGGAAAAGTGCCAGGGGCCAAAGATGTGCACCTGTGCAAGAAAAGAGAATATTGCACTAAACAGGGGACCCTGCAGTTTTTTTTTCCTTTATATTTCTGCCTTCATTGACCTAGAAACGAAACCAACCATTTTCTGTATGCGTTAGCAAACCTTGCCTGCTCTACCTCTCTACACGTTGCTAAAATGTGGTCAATGAACCTATATTCTGCTTCTAGACTGACAAAGTCCTGCATAGGCGCACGCTTCAGGCGTTTAGTTTCTTGAGTGTAGCCTTGTCGGTTGGCTTCAATCAAGCCATCAACATCCATGTCTTGAGTCACATGACATCCAAGGGCACCATCAGGATGTAAGTTATTCAGTGTCCCATCCCTACTGTCTGCTGATGTTGACCAGAGGCTTGGAAGTGGAAACTTGTTCTTCAAGTGGTGCTGGAGCCAGAATACATGCCGTCTGTGACACCAAAGGGTTTCATGGCCTGGGAAAGTATTAATCAAATCTGTACAGAGCTCTACTTCTTCCTTTAGAAGAAGCGGGTGATCTGACTGCTGTTCTTCCATGCAGGCAGCTTCTGCATCAGTGTTTTCTTCCTCTTTTGGAACACTGGGTACTTGCGGATTGGCTGGCTGGTTGTGCAATTGCACGCTACAGTCAGTCCCAGTTCTACAAATTAATGACTTTAATAAAAACTGGCGGTAGTGGAATCCACTATGGTCTGAAACATGCATGGAGACCCAATGTTTAGTGGAAGAAAGTTCATCAAGAAGAATCTTGGTACTGAGCTTTGCCAAGTTCTGTAAAACCCAGATGCGATGAGACCAGGCATTATAATTACTTGGATATCTCCCAGCAGCTTCACAGCAAACATCCATTTCTTCTTTCACTAAGCGCTGTACTCTTTCCGTGGGTGCTATTTCAGACTATAACACAGACTACCTTGTCACATATGCCCCTGGAATCACCATGGATCTCCGGTTATCATGGCAATCCCAGCAGTGCCCACCTAGGAGGCATAAGGACCTATCACCCTGTGCCTGGCACCATTCTGGCTTCCTCCCTCTCTCCCTCATCACATGGCAGGAAGAGTCTGCCAGCCAGCTTGCCCCATTGAGGAAGCTTCCCATGTTGCTGCCAGTGGCTGACTCTGGTTCTGCCACTGTTTTGCCCTGGAGCCACCTCAGAAGTACTTCTCTCATTTGTAATGGGAGTTGTTGGGGAGTTGTCCCCAACATTTGCCATGTCCAATGAGGTTGTACAATGTGTTCTGTATTATTGGTAAGAAAGCATCCAGACTGGTAAGAATTGTATATGGCGTTATTTTGCTTTGGCTTCACCCCATGTTTTATCCTAAAAACTTTTCTCCATTCATGCTTTAGGCTTCTAATCTTACACCAGACTCCAAGAGAAATCTCCAGAATCAGCCACTTCTTGGTTCTCTTTTGTTTGTTGCTTCTGAAGTGTTTTTTCCACAAAAAGTGCACACACATACATGCACATCTGTCCTCTCCCATCAGCTCAGTGTATGTGTATCTCATTCCCCAAGCTATTAGGAGCATCTCATTCAGAGAGAGTCCCACCTATAGTAGAGACTTCATTTTTGTGGTGATTTGAGATACAAAAGTGCTAAAACCATGTATTAGAAAATACACATTTTTATACCTGAGAAAGAGCATTCTACAAATCACAGAGATTAGTAGAAACTTTATAAAGTTGACCACAGATCCATGTTGGAAGACCTAACGATTCCTAGAAAAAAATCATGTTAATAAAATCTGTGAATAATCAAATCTGCAAAAGTTAAACCCTCAAATGTGGACTGTAGTCTATTCAATCCCATCAGTTAATCGTTGCTTTACTGACATCCTACCTAACAAAATAACCATCAGATATCAGTGTGTTGTAAAAAAAATCATTTATGCACTAGAACATTCTCATTTCTACAATGGTGTTTTAAAGTTATAATCATGCCAAAATATGCTTTAAAAATCCTGAAAGAGTTGTTGGTATTTGGATGTATTTCAACTTTTGAATTATTTTCGTGGTGCTCTGATAACATTGCTACAAGTATGCAGAATTTGATTACAGCATAATCATAATCAGGGTTAATATGCAAGTCTGTTAGAACACACTTACAGGTTTTGAAAATCCTAAGTAAATTTTGGAAGGGAGAGCATTCTTATTTCCATTGCTACTTCTTTCAAGTGATTGCTACACATTTGCAAATCCAGTTTGCATTCTAATTTTCTCCAGCTCTTGCTTAGACCAATATCTACTTTTCTTTCATCTTATACTTGAAAAGCAGACAAAATTATAGATTTTGAAAGATTAGACAAAGTCACTTGCTGTGTATATTGAAAACACTTTATTTGCCTAGCATGCTTGTTTACCACAAATCTGTTATATTAATTATTTCAATTGTTTCTAAAGTACAACAGTCCGGCCCTTTAAAAGCAGACTTTAAACCAGGGGTGAACCAAGATAAATTTAATGTTGTGACTGAAAAATAGTGATGGAATGGTGATAAGGGAAGTGATAACTGATGGCAATAAGACAGTGGTAAGGGAAGGTTGTGGGGAAGTAAATATGGTTGTTGGTGGAGATTTATTTTCATGGTGGCTGCTTATGGAAGCAGAAAAAGAAAATAAGGAAAACATCACTGCTGCCACATTCTTGGCCACTGATGTCTATGGTGTTACCATCTTCTTTCCAGAGTTTCAATCTAAATGGCCATGCTGATTCCAGCATTCTGGGAATAACAGTGCCATTGATCTGACGCCAACAATATATTTATTTATTTCATCTACTTATACCCCGCCCTTCTCACCCCGGGGGGGACTCAGGGCGGCTTACAAAGGAGGCACAATTAGATGCCCAAATCACACAACAAACAATACAAAATATAACAGTTCAACAATTAAAATGAAACATCAATACCTATTAAAATCATAAAAACTATCTCATGTCAGAGTCCATATATCAGAGTCCATATATCCATTCCATTCCATTGTCCTTGTCTATCGATAGGTCCTTTGATCAATTGTCAGCATGGCCAAAAGCTTGGTCCCACATCCAGGTCTTTAGTTTTTTCCTAAACGCTAGAAGGGAAGTCGTCGATCTGATCTCCCCGGGGAGTGAGTTCCACAGGTGGGAACTCTGACTCTCTGGCTGAAATTTAATCTCTGTCCATATAGCAACAGAATAGATGCATCCATGGAGGGATTATCTCTCCTACTTAGAGATTTTCTCTAAATATTTGGATCATCTACACAAGGGCATGGAGATATTGGCCTCCCAAGTTAAAAATTATGTCAAGTATTTGGAAATACAGTTTAGGCATTAATATAAAAAGAAATGGCAAAGTTATTAAGAGAATATAAACATAGTAAATATAAAAGTTATGGGTATGAATTACTTTTTAATGTGTCACTCAAGTCTAGCTGAACCCCCAGTGGTACAATGGGTTAAACCCTTGTGCTGGCAGGACTGCTAACCGATAGGTCAGCAGTTCAAATCCAGGGAGAGCGGGTTGAGCTCCTACTGTCAGCTCCAACTCCCCATGTGGAGACATGAGAGAAGCCTCCCACAAGGAAGGTAAAACATCAAACATCCTGGTATCCCTGGGCAATGTCCTTACAGACAGCCAATTATCTCACACCAGAAGTGACTTGCAGTTTCTCAAGTTGCTGCTGACACACACACACAAAACCCTCAAGTCTAGTCTAGAATGTTAGGAACCAAAAGAAAATTTCAATGGGTGACAGGTTTCTTACCTCATTTTGTCCCTCCTGTTGTAGCTAAAACCCCGGTTTGGATGGGAAATGGCTGCAAAAGCAATAGAAGACAGGAAAGCCTCTTTGTATAGATCAACATGCATATGTGTAGTCCTAGACCTCATTGACAAAGTGTTTTGACCTACTTACATAATCTTTACTGCCTCCTTCATTGACATTTTTTTAAAAAAATTAAATGCCTTATCATACTGATTGATCTTGTTTTCATTGTCTAATTATCAGAGTAATTATTTTACATGCAAGCTGCCTTGAGCGCTACTCTTTGGGATGCAGAGAGTAGGATATGCATTTCCTCAATCAGTTTATAACAAAATGCAAAATATATCTTCTAGTGATACCTTTATGGGGCAACCAAAATATCAAAATGTATCCAGCTAACATTCAAAGCTTTGTTGTTGTCAAAGGCTTTCATGGCTGGAATCACTGTGTTGCTGTGAGCTTTTTTGGCTGTATGGTCATGTTTCAGTAGCATTCTCTCCTGACTTCAAAGCTTTAGTTGTTTCTTCATCAGGTGAAAGACAGATAGCAAAAATCAATGTAGGGAAGATAGTAATAATAATATTGCTCTGGTCACAGCATCTACATGTAGGTTTGATGGTGTGTGTGTGTGTGTGTGTGTGTGTAACGGCGCTCCATGCATGCCAGCCACATGACCTTGGAGGTGTCTATGGACAATGCTGGCTCTTCAGCTTAGAAATGGAAAGTCAGACATGATGAGACTTAATGTCAGGGGAAACCTTTACCATATATATATATATATATATATATATATATATATATGGTAGAATTGTGAAAGCTCAAGATGATTAGGGTATACCACTTTAACTGCTATGGTTCAATGCTATAGGTAAAGTAAAGGTTTTCCCCTGACATTAAGTCCAGTTGTGTCCGACTCTGGTGATTAGTGCTCATCTCCATTTCTAAGCTGAAGAGCCGGCGTCGTCCATGGACACCTCCGAGGTCATGTGGCTGGCATGGCTGCATGGAGTGCCACTACCTTCCCACCGGAGTGGTACCTATTGATCTACTCATATTTGCATGTTTTCGATTGCTAGTTTGGCAGAAGCTGGGGCTAACAGCGGGAGCTCACACCATTCCCTGGATTCAAACCTGTGACTTTTTGGTCAACAAGTTCAACAGTTCAGCAGTTTAATCCACTGCGCCACCAGGGACCCCGGTTCAATGCTATAAGATCCTGGTATTTGTAGTTTGATGAGGCACAAGCACTCTTTGAGAAAGAAAGCTAAGGACTTTGTATAACTACAAATCCCAAGATTAAAGTCTAGATATTCCCACAGAGGGAGATTTCTGATTTTTAGGACCACAGGGTAAAAGCTAGTAAGGAGACTGGCTATCATTAGAGACTAATCCCGTCAGCCTTGGAGCTACTTTGATGCGTAGAGGCTGGTCTGCAGCTTTTAGTTCTATGTCCTTTGATGAAGACATCAGTGAAGTCTGCCACAGGGGAGGCTTTTTTTAAAAAAAATGCTGTCTCTTCTTTTGCTTTTCTATGGAGAAACAGCCAGAAAGAAGGAGCAAAAACCCTAAAAGCAGCAGTGAGAAGGAGGAAACTTGAAGCACCTTTGAGAGTAATTGGTTTATTCCAGATTCAGGATTCATGGATATTAATCCAATTCTCCAGATGCACTGAGGAATTACATTCTTATAGCCCAGGTATTTAAGTACAGCTACAGAGTTCTGCGAGTGGGATCAAAACGTAATAAGATCTAGAAAGATGCAAATTGCCATTCTGGCTTCAAAGGGAAGGATGATTCAGGTAATTCAAATAGCTGGTCTGTAGTACAGAAGTGCAAAAGCAATAAATCTGCTCCCTAGAGAAAGTTTCCATGGAGGCAAAGAACTTCACTGCAGAGGTTTTTAAAAAATAATAATAATATAAGTCATGAGAACCTGTATGATATTAGATGTCATTGTGCCAAGAAACCATTATCTATGATATCTGTGATAATGGACTAGGCTTTGTGAATAATGCCTCAATGCAGTGGTTACTCTTACTAGCATTCCTTTAATATTTTTTTCTTGAGAAATGCTTGTGTGTCCAGGAATTTTAAATGCTCTGCAATTGTAATTTTTGTTGTTGTTCTTCGGGAGAAAAGTTGCCATCAACA